AGAGAGAGAGAGAGAGCGAGCAAGAGCAAAAAAAAAGACACAGAGTCAGAGAGAGAAAGAGAGCGCGAGCAAGAAGGGGAGAGAGCAAGAGAGACCGAGTGGGCAACGAAAGGGAAGGCTAAATTGAGTAATCAGGCGCCTTTGCGCAAACACTCTTCGGATCGTTCGCATCTACGCCAGGGATCAAGATGTGCGCGGTCACCCTGCCATTGCTTCACGATGTGTGCTTGTCATGTCGCTCATGGATGCTTAGGCCGAATACAAGCCTCACGTAGAAAGTTGAATCTGCCGCCAAAGCGCCGATCTTGCCTCAGCACCAGCAGATTTCGCTGCGGTCGGCTTTCTGACTTCCAGACTACAGCCGTACTGTAGGAGGTGCACCAACGCAAAGGCGCGTCTTCTCCACGGCCACATTGATCTTCTTCTTATCCTGAGGGCAGTTTCGAGGGCGGAGACTTTCCAGGCAACGACAAGGAGCAGCAGTCCTGTGCCATCCATTCCAGGGTGTACACCACCGACTTCGCCGGAAGTGGCTGCCAATTTATCAGCAGTGCCTGACAGAACTTGCGGCTTTCTTGTGGCAGCCGGGATCTGCCGGGCTGAGAGCCTCTGCAAAGCACTTCAAGGTGGCGGGCTTCATCATGGTGCACTGCAGAAGCTGCCCGTGGCCCAGATCAGTTCCATCCTTAGCGATGAGTTGCCAGCTTCCTCCTTTCAAAACTCGACGGGCACTTGCGAGGACATAAAACAACGTGTGATAGTTTTTTGACTGTGGCTAAGGTCACCACAATGCGAATCCAGCCTTGCTCCTTCTGCCTGCGTGGGGGCAAAGAGTGTGACGAGATGCTCTGTGAAATCTCTTCTTCTCGCCTGTACTTCCGGTTAGTTTGAAGCCAGTTCTCTTTGGCGTAGCCCCAAAGGCGATTGCCCTCAGCCAGAGACGGCTCTGACACATGGCTTCGCATCTCGGCGCTCGGGCCTAGCCTCCGTGACGATCCCCAAGGACTTGGAAGTGACTCGTGGTCTCCTTGGCTTTCAGCTTCTTCTGGCTTCATGCCTCTTTCTCGGAATCTCGGACTGCATGCCTGCGGACAGATACCGACTTGAAAAGGACTTCGAACTCCAGCGCCCCGGTGTAGATGTCCTGCTGTGCGCAGGTGGTTGACGGCCAAGTTCCTCATCGAAATCCGCCCCTGCCTCGGATCTCCAGGCAACTCCATGCTTTTCGTCATCTGACTCCTGCGCGTCTCTTCAGCATAAGCAGAGGCATGGACCTGGAGCCAAGAAAACGCAAATCTTGGCCTCTCTGGGGTCTTTGTCGTTCCTTGGCTTCTCGCCTGGCTTCAGAGGCCGAAGCAACAGGCCCAGGCCAACCTGGAGCACAGAGGAATTCCGGGGGTGGATGTTACATTATATTATATCGTGTTGAACTACAAAATCTTGTTTATGTTATATTGTATGCCAGATAGGAGCCTCCTGTCCATCTATGAGCACCCAGGCGACCTTGCCGTCCGCAACGCCTGCCTGGCTCAGTTGCAGACTCCAGACCGAGTAGTTACTCTTTGTATCCATCCATTGGCGCCTGTACCCTATATTGCTTCCGGAAGTTAAGCGCAAAGGGAGCATGAACTACACCGATACCTGAAGATGTTGCACGAAGGACCTTCAAGATATAAACGCTGTGTGTCGGATTCAATACTGCCCGGTAAATAGGAGAGTCAGGCTACCGACACGATACGAAACGATACTGCTAGATTGCAAGCACCCAAGCAAGCAAGCAAGCAAGCAAGCAAGCAAGCAAGCCAGCAAAGAGCTCTGCCTGAATGCTGGACTCCCGGGTTAGCTTCACCCAGCCTGGCAGCCACTTGAAAAAGTAACACTACAGAGCCATGCCCTGCGTCTTTCCACAGACGCCACAGTGCAGGGCCTTCCATTTCGTAGCCTTTTAAGACGTGCCCCTTGCAGACAATGCCGAGCTTCTCAGCCTGCGGAAACGAGGCGCGTGGCGGAAAGACTCTGACACACCCCCTTGTTCGAGCCTTGACGCTGGGCTGTGAGCGAATGAGAACAGCCCGGTGCTCGACCACCAAACGGGCCTAGGCTGGGCCAACCGCGAACATCATGCAAACAGGACTTTGCAGGAGCCAAGCGATAAAGCTTCTCCGTGCGTCGCCTCGAGCCTGCTCGATCTGGGCACATTCTTCGAAGACAGATCAGCAAACAACGAGCTAGATTACCAATAGGAAGGGATGTTTCACTTGTAAATTTTTGTTGTTATGATAAGAATCCGAATGAGAACCCGGGATTCCTAATCAAGCCCACGGCCCACGGAGAGCACCGCTTTTCAGGTCAGCTTGTGGATCCTCTGTCGGCCACTGTACACTCCAGTGAAGCGGCGAGAGAGAAGCTCGCACTGTTCAGCGCATTGGTCGCGCCGACACAAACTGCTAGAATGCCGGAAAGCCCGGCAATGGTAATCTCGCATGTTGGCTGACAGTGTCCATCAGGCAATGCCAAATGCTGTGGCCATGTCGGCATGCAAGGACAAGTAAGGTCAGGTCACACAACGCCTGTGTTGACCTGGCTGCTCCGAGCAGCGCTACTGTCCGTGAATCTCGTACAAGGCACTTAGGGATGGAAAGTCCTCAGGCCGTTTGCCCAATTCAGGCCAAGTGAACCGGCGATCCTCGGCAAAAATGGCGTGGCAGGAAGACACAAGTGGGCAAGTCAATGTCAAGCGCGGAACCGACTCCTTGATTTGGACATCGTTGATGGACGCCTGGCAATGAAATCCGGCTCGAATCGAAGACTGGACTTGTGGGTCATGCTTGCCATGCTGCCTGCCGTCGGCACATGAGCCCGTTTGCTGCGAAGTCCCAGTTCTCGTTGCCATAGGCGCGGTACCAGATCCCTGTAACCAGCACGAGAGTATCCCACGGAGCACTGGATCAGATGGTATCTGCGTAAGTCGCATGAGAGAGCCTGTGGAAGCGTCTTTGAACTCATACTGGAAGCAGACTCCTATCCGGTTTCCCTCAAAGGCAAAGAGCTCCTTTATCAAGCGGTACTCCTGCTCCTGCACGCAGCACTATGAAAACATTGCCGGTGTGCTACAGTTCTGCTGGACCGCCTTCTCCCACTTCTGGCGAAGAAAATTGACGATAGCTTCACGGCCTTGAAAGAAGGCGTCTCGATTCCTCCACACGCAGTCCTGACGTGACAGTACACTATGTGTACACTACGCACATAGCCCCCATACATGGCTGCAAAGATTGGTCTGAACCGACGTCCTCAGTGTAGGCCAAGCTGACGGTCTCGGGATCGCGCGTGTTCCAAGCGTTCTCTGCCATCCGGACTTTTTTGATAGCATCTTCACGGCTGAAAGGCGGCAGCGGAGGTCGTTGAAGCCTGGCGGAAAGTCTGTCAACGATACACCCACCTGATGGGGCATTCTGGGTGCAGTGGGGCGGGTGCAGTGGGGCGGGTTCTAACATTCCAAGATGCTGTGCAGCTGCCCGTGCTGATGCCGGCGTCCACAGTTTCAAGAAGCTGCGCGAGAGGCCGGGAGCAGACGCAAGCATGGCTACAGGAAGTGGAATCAGCGGGGCTGTAAACGGCTGCGTTGCATCGTCAAAGTTGCAAGCATTGCTGAGATTTGCTGGGCATTTCGCCTCACATTGGTTTCCATGACCGGCCTCCCCGTCGCGTGCTTGCACCCCTGACTCCTCCAGTGATGTATGCTCACAATACAAAGCTTTGTGAAAAAAAGATGCGAAAGGCTGGACCCTTGGCAAGAGGGCCTTCTCCGTCCGAGTTGGAAGCTCGGATGCACTAACCTCAAGGCAGCTTAGCATAGGCCCGCTCGAGATCGATTGGTTGTGGGGATGCAGGCCTTTCGCGGCTGCGACTTCCCAGCTTTTTCGCCTTCCAGAAGCACTTGTGGGGGCAAGTCAAGGATGGGCCGGCTAGCTGCAGAAGCCTCAACTTGTTGTGGCAAGCAAGTGATCTCTTTCTCGAGCGGGGCCGTTTAAGGTGCGGTGGCAAAGCATGCTCAAGAGCCCAGAGGATTACAAGAGACACCCCAGGTTTCCCAGGAGCGCTTAAAAGCAATTGAAAGGTCTCTTGAACCCTGCAGGAAAAACTTGCGACTTCTGCTTTGAAAAGACTTGCTACTGGAAATGAAACTGATAGTCATCCGTGAGGATGAGTGCAAATATCAAGGAGACATCAAGGAGTCGGGGACAGCAAAAGCCCTACTCACCTACTCCTGCCCTCCTTAAAAATTTCTTCAGATCAGCTAAATGAGAAAGTCCACATGATTCCTCGAGTCTCAAGCAAACAGGTCGTAGTTGATTGTGGGAGCAGCTGGGGCTTTCTTTTCTGGTTGGCTTTCCTGCTTCGTATCCTTGCTTCCAAGGCGTCCCAGGTCTGCCAAGGCACTTCCCAACAGCTTACTTGGATCCACATCCGCTGCAGATTCTGGAGCTGAGCTTGGTTTCGCTGGCTCTGGCGTCTTGGTCTTTTGCTGTTTTGCTTCCTCGCGCTTGCGCGCCTCCTCGGC